AAAAAAAAAAAAAAAAAAAAAAAAAAAAAAAAAAAAAAAAAAAAAAAAAAAAAAAAAAAAAACTAAAGTTGAATTTAATTTTAAAATAATATATTATTTATTAAACATAAAATTGAAAATTCATGAAATTATTAACGTTCTTAAAATTCGAAATCTATTAGACAAAAAAGTTAGAAATTAATATATTTATTTAGTTATTTTTTAACTTTATTATGTTATATTACAAATTTTGTAATAAAAAAAAACCAAAAAAACTCTAATTTTAGTATCATCCAATCATATGTTTTTTAAAAAATTAGATTAATTTTCTATTTAAAATTTTAATTAAGCGGTTACTAACACATTTCTATTTTTTTTATAGATCTATCTATCATCAAATAACGTACATTAAGTGACGAGATTGTCGGTATCATTTGTTCGTGTTAATCACCAAATACTATATTCCCTAAGGCTATTATAAATAAAAAACAATAATAATTTCAAATACATAACAATATACATAATCAAAACCCCATTAAGCAAAAGGAGAAATGGGTTGGCCCTCGATATGTCAAAATAAGCACAGTTCTCAAATATTACAATATATGGCTTTCACGTCCATAACAAAACAGAACAAAACCGCATGTTTCATATACATCGCCACATTGCTGAAACATGCACCAGCAACGGCAACCAAAAATGCAGACAGGGCTACCTACATCCGACTCGTCAAATCGAATACAATCTAACACGAAATCACGCTTAGCATCGCAACGTGTGTAGGACTGGTTGTATGCAAGGTGACATGAATGTGCTGGGACTCTGCTGGATTTCAGCACTGTCCAATGCTGCTCTTGATATGAACATGTTTTCTTGATATGATTTGAAGTGAAAGGATACTCAAGTCCTTTGGCTTGTAGTGGCTTCCAGCGACCCCCTCGAGCGCCTTAACTTGAGTTCGAGATCAATGAGGAAGTAGCATTTAGTTTGCTCTCTAACGTAGCAGACATTACCGTTCAATTTATTGAGAAGTCTGCGTGACAGATTTAGGGCGAGGCCTTGCTCTGAACTCCACTGTTGTCCTCCTCCAACCATATCTTGGATTAGTTCAGGAGGCAGACCTTGACCTGGATGTGACATTCTACACATACAAAGAAACAAAAAACAATAAATAATCAATGTCCCAGCTCTGTCTTTCAAGATTTCTGTTCATGTCTTTGACTATTCTCACCTATACTCAGTCTGACTCTACTACATTTGTTTGCTACAGAAACTCGTAGGATATTAAATCTTAAAGGAGGTGGTCATCGTAGCTTAAATTCATTCTCCGTAAGTCATTTATTACTTTCATTGCCCATATTGGCCACTAACCCAACCCCATGGTTGTTTTTTCTTTCAAGACTATGATTAAAGAAACAGTCACTATAAGAAATTCAATGCAGACGTGATCATGTGGTCCTTTTTGGACTTTTCCTTTCGGGCTTCCTCTCAAAGTTTTTAAAATATGTCTGCTAGGGAGAGGTTTCCACACCTTTATAAAGAATGTTTCATTCTCCTCTCCAATCAATGTGGGGTCTCATAATCCACCCCTCTTCGGGGCCCGGGGTCCTCGCTGACACTCGTTCCTCTCTCCAATCAATGCGGGATCTCACAATCCACCCCCTTTCGGGGCCCAGCGTCCTTGCTGACACACCGCCCAATGTCTACCTCCCCCTTCGAGGCTCACCGTCTTCACTGGCACATCGCCCGGTGCCTGGCTCTGATACCATTTGTAACCGCCCAAGCATACCGCTAGTAGATAGTCCTTTTGGGGCGTTTCCTTTCGAGCTTCCCCTCGAGATTTTTAAAATGCGTCGGTTAGGGAGAGGTTTACACACCCTTATAAAGAATATTTCGTTCCCTCTCCAATCGATGTGGGATCTCGCAATACACATAAAAATGTCTAGGCATGGCTCAAAACTAATAGTCACGTGTGGACTGAATAGTTACTGAAGAGGAATTTTAGTTCACTAAACAACCTTCGTCTCCTGAATCAAAATCCCTTGTAGTATGCGATATGTTCACTTTCTTTCAAGATCCATACAAAGTATACAAGACAAAGCTATACAAAGAAAATATGATAAAAAACCAGGAAAAAAAGTGAGAAACACAAGAAAAATGGAGGAGTTACTGGAGAGTACCTGATCTGCAAGTGAATATGTTCATTTCCATCTTGTATAAGCTTCAAACCAGCTGAAATTTTGATTTCAACCCAACCGTCCAGAGCAGGCGTGTTCTGCACTACGCTAAGTAAGAAATCTGATAAAACCAGCTGAAGTTTAATTTGATCGCCACAAAGAGTTAACACTTTGATTTCTTCTGGAATTTCATGAAAAAGTTGTATGTTCTTCTCTCTGACAACAATCATGATTTGACAGATAATTGCATCCAGAACACTCCCGAGGACAAACTCGTCTCTGTTTATCTGTACTTGGCTGTTAAACCAGGAGAAAAATCAGAGCAGCATAGGACAGAATTGAGCAGATTATAGAGATAAAAATGCATAACAAAATAATTGACAATATGGGTTCAATTGAGGCTAAGATATCTGTGAACTTTTTACGAAGAAGAAGAATATTGTGAGATATCTGCAGGAGAGATATGCTCTTCAGGTATACTTGGCTTCATTCAGCCACCGTGGGAAAACCTTGTCGAGGATTATTGAGAGTAGTTTGATGATAGCAGATTAAGAGGAAGATCATGAGTTTATAAATAAAGAACATTATCTCTATTAGTCTGACGCCTTTAAGGGAAACAAAAAACAAAGCTACGAAAGCTTATGCTCAAAGTGGACAATATCATACCATTGTGGAGGTTCGTGATTCCTAACATGGTATTAGAATCATGCCCTTAACTTAGTCATGTTCATCGAATCCTCAAGTTTTGAACAAAGTAGTTGTGAGCCTCGAATGTGTAGTCAAAAGTGACTCAAGTGCCGAACAAAGGGTTTGTTCAAGGTCTCTAGAGAAAGAGTTGAGCCTCAATTAAGGGAGGCTCAAAGGTGACTCAAGTGTCGAACAAAGGTTTATTTTGTTTGATGGCTCCAGAGAAGGAATCGAGCCTCGATTAAGGGGAGTCTCAAAGGTAACTCAAGTGTCGAACAAAGGGTTTACTTTGTTTGAGGGCTCCAGAGAAGGAGTTGAGCCTCAATTAAGGGGAGTCTCAAACATGACTCAAATGTCGAACAAAGGATCCACTTTGTTTGAGGGCTCCAGAGAATGAGTTGAGTCTCGATTAAGGGGAAGCTATTCGAGAGCTCCTGAGAAGCAGGCCTCAGGAGAGGCTCTATGATGTACTTTGTTCGAGGGGAGGATTGTTGAGAATTATTGAGAGGAGTAGTCCCACATTAGCTAATTAAGAGGAACACTATCTCCATTGGTATGAGGCCCTTTGGAGAAACCAAAACCAAAACAATGGCAGCTTAGGCTCAAAGTGGACAATATCATACCATTGTGGAAGTACGCAATTCCTAACCAACCCTTCTCCCACAGGTAAGTTATATTGGTGTCACCCCTCGAATATAGACTTAACATCATTTCTCCCCATCATTTTTTAGAAAACAAGCCTGATTCTCATTAATAACTTACATCGAGGATACGATACATGTGAGGAAAATATTATTCTAATCCTCGGCTGCAATGAAGAAATTTGCCTGTTGCCCTGCCTAGAAACGACCGAACGACCTACAGATGTGCTTGTCGACCTTCTCATTTCTCTTGAAGTAGATTACTACAAATGTTGGACAATATGAAAATGCTCCGTTTGTTGATAAGTAAGATCGTATTTGACAAGGCTAACTACATGTTCTATTTCCTCACTAAGGTGTTTAGTGGGCTATACCAATTCATTCATCCCTAATATGTCTCTTAGCCCTCAAGTTTTGACTTATGTTTTCTCCAATTGTCCTTTGGCACTCACTTCAGTGGATGCTTCACACTTTTATGCAGAAGCTTTGTGTCAAATAAAGTGATCCTTAAACGACTTGCAAAATTAAGAAGTCCATGGCATGGTTTACGAACGAAAATCACCAGCAGTACGGAAAAAAGAAAGTGAACGTTTGCCGAGATGGTACTTACCCCACTTCTAAACTTCTGAAGTCCATATCCTCAATGATCGCCATGATCTGTCTCTCGCACGCATCACTAGTAACAAGGAAGAGTTTCTGGTTGTCTGTAATGCCAGAATTTACAAGGAGTTCATGAGTAAATTTGATGCCATTTAAAGGATTTTTCATCTCCCGCTTTAAGTAAGTCAACTCCTTAAGCTGCAAATTGCCCCGTCTTTCGCCCAGGCCGAGTCCTTCAGAGACCCCTTGCAAGTTTGGCTCAACAACTTGCAGGAAACAGATACAACCAATGACATTTCCTTCTGCATCAGTCCTTTTGTTTGATGTTAAAAGCACCTCCATATAGTTACCATTCTTATTGAAAAATCCTAATGGAAACTTCTCAGTTTGTTCACCACCAATGCCTTGATATAATAGGATCATAAACCTAGTGAGGGTATCTAGATCTTTCAACCTACAGAAGTTCCCAAAAATCTCCCCTACAAGCATTTTTCCTATAACTTCATCTTTACTCCAACCAGAAAGCTTCTCCATGGCAGCAGTCCATTCACAGCAGTAACCATTCTCGTCCGAAACGAAAATTGGTGGAATCAATGGACTCAGACTTTCAATAATTGTCCTATAATCTCCCTGCAGACGGATAAATCTATCCCTCATGCCCTTCTCCGACGTTATATCTTGCCCAACAAAGCAAACCCCAATAACTTTATTTGTGTAATTCCTACTTGTGCAAGCATTAACTACAATATACACAGCAGAGTTTTCTTTATCAGTTCCAAACTTTCTCAGTTTTAACTCCACATTTTTGTCTTCCACACCTGAAAAACACAAGGACAATCATATAACAAGGGAAGGGGCGAAAACGAAACAGTAGAGGGCTATTGCTATGCTGTAACATTGATGATCAAATCAATAGTTAGCTTCATAAGCTATAAGCGAACTAATATTAATAAATGCGACTGAAATATACACTTACCTTGCAGAGCATGAAGAACTAAATTTCCAACAGTTCCACGTGAATCGTCATGAACGATTTCATCCAGAGATCTCCCCAAAGCTTCTCCAGTTTGTAATCCTACGAGTTCAGCTATTTTAGCATTCCATCCATTGATCACACCAGTTGAGTCAACCCCAAAAATTGGAGCGGTTGCTGTTTCAATTAATCTAACCATTTCACAAGCTACTGAACTGAGTTCGCCGATGTCCTGAGACACAGTATCACTCTGCTGGACAGACATTTCTGCCTTCGAATCACTGTCTCTAGCGCTCGAGAAAGACTCCCTCATAATAAGCTGCAATGAGTGAATGGCATTTATTTCTTGAGCTTCCCATGACATACTTTTACTCTTTGCAACTTCAAGAAATGCTTTAAATGATGACCTTGGGTGCATTCTTCCACCATCATCCTTATCATCTGGATGATGCTTGGCTCCTCCCCATTGGATTTCTTTTGCGGCATGGGAACGGAACCAGAATAAGAAATCTTTTGAACTAATTCTTGCAGCAGTCATACCACATATTGCATCACCTAGTGAAGCAGCTTCGGGATAGCCAGCATCAGCCAAGCTATCCGTGCTCAGTCCTGTAGAATCTCCATGGTTATTGAGTATCCACTCGACAAGGTTTTTAACTTGGGCTTCAGTTGGAGTTACACCTAGTAGACAGCATGCCCCCTGATAGTACAATGCAGCGCCATCACACTTCACGAGATCCTTTATACTAGGTGACTGGGTCAGCAATGCATAAGGGGAGCCTCGGAGGAGCATGTCACAGAGTAAGGTTTGTGTCTTGAGAACCTTTTTCTCTGTTATTTGTAATGCCAATTGAAGCTCCATATAAAGTTGCAGCCCGAAAGCCTGCATGAGAAACTCGCAAGCATAACGAAGTGGGAAAGGGACATATCGTGGTGAAGTATGGTGGCACACTACCAGGCCCCATAACCTTGTTGGAGAGTCATCACTGTTCATGATTACTGCCATTGCCAATGAGGCTATGGAACCCATATTTGCCATGTACTGCAAATGACAACTATGTGGTGATCGAAGTGTTGAATTAACCAAACAAAGAGGCTGCTTTAGCTCATCACTTTGAATGACCTGCACAGGCTTCGCGTGGCAATCGCAAATCATCCTAACGCGGTTCTGCTTGAACAAGAAACGAGCAGCTTGGGGTATATCAATGGCAGGATAGTGCAAACCGAGATATGGCTCCAAGTCCGACCTTCTGATTTCTGACACTACTTCACCATGTTCATCATCATGGAACTTATACACCATCACTCTATCATACCCTGTAAGCTTCTGAACATCTTCCACAACCGTATCACATAAAACACCAATATCACCACCAGGTAGAGCCTGCAACCTGGAAATGGCTCGAACCGCAAGTTTCTGCGAATGCACGGCGCCGGCAAGCGACAGTGCAGGATCAACAGACCGTGCAGGCTCCAAATCAATTACAATCCCCACATCAATCCTATGCAGTATGGCATAAAATGGCTTCTGGGTATTCCTAGAATAAACCCAAACAGGATTCAACAGCGAAATCTCCCTGGATGAAGCCGCTTTAGCCAAAGAAGCACCGGAGGAAGGCGTAAACAGAGCTCTTATATGAACCCCAATTAGACCCTTCCCCGGTGCCGACTCAAACTGATCATTTATCCCCAATAATTCAAAACAATTCTCACTATAGCTAATAATCTTAAGACTAGATTCTTCAATCGCAAGCAAACAACCAAACGGCTGAACCATTCCACCCCTCTGAATCTTAGACAGATAAGCAGTAATTTGTTCTTCAGGTACAGACTGTGGAGCTTCAAGAACTGATCTCGAATAGTTAAAAGACTCACCAGAGGCATCCGATTGCTCAAACTTGTTCAAAAGCCCAGCATCAGCATTGTATTGCACAAGTGCCGCAGCTCTGTTGTCGGTGCTAGCTGTATTGCTCGGACGAGCCCTGGTATTGCTTTCCGCCGAGGACGAAAACGCCGCCATCCCTCTTCCTCCTCCCCGACTATTCTCCATGAGTGTATCCGCAAGGATTGAAGTGAAATTGTTGGATTGGTTGTTCAGAGAAACGAAGGAGGAAGCTGGAGGTTTATCTCCATCAGTAAATTCATCGCTTGAAACAGGTGCCGTACGACTCAGAGAAACTAGGAGGAGCTGGTTTGCTTTTGGCTTTTATCTTCCCAAGAAGTGACTCGTCGTCATCCCTTGTCGCCGATTCACAATCCATCTCTCTGTTCAGCTTGGAATTTACTCGCCTTCGTTTTTGGATCAGCATATTTCACCACTCCATGTTCCCCTCCTCCTTCCTTTTCCTTTTCCTCATTATTATTTTATTATTATTATTATAATTATAATTATTATGTCCGTTGGTTTCAGCCTCTTAACCTCTGAAACTTTATCCATAAACGGTGATAAATCAATTTTCATTTTCATCAAATTTTATCCATTTCTATTAATAATACATCTCATCGATCATATTTTCGCTATATCTATATGTTTAGTTTATTTCAAAAATAAAAATTATTTTTTTATGACATATTTTTTAGTCCGTAATTGTACCCACTCGAAATTTCAAGTTAAATTGGTGATCGAAACAATCGTTCGCAATCTAACTCAATTCTATATTTTCAAGTTGGGTTATCGACTCTTTTTAATTATAATTTTTTTTAATGGTTTACCATATATGTTACACTGATGATCAAAATTTCATAAAATTCAAATATAAACATTTTGTCACTATACAGTACATTACTATGTTACAGTACACATTACAAAATTTAAAAGTAGAATATGATAAGGTTGGATGGTTTAATTGATAGCAAAAGTATGTAATTATTATAATTTTTCTAAAAAAAATAGAAAATAATTTATTTACCATTTTTAGAAGCTGAATAAATATTTGGTTCAAAATTAATTAAAACTTTAGATTTAAAAATATATTGAACTAAAAACGTGGGCAGTCCCACGAGTAAGATTTAGACAGCACCTTTGAGCATTTATAAATTGGTCCATTTATTCTATATATATATATATATATATATAGGGTCCACTCTCCAAAAATAGAAGATATTTTATTATTTGTTTTATTTTAGATTTTAGTTTTTTATATTTTCAATAAAAATAATTTTCATAGAAATTACATTCTTTCCTAATAAAATTAACCATAAACTAACAAATTAAAATATTTTAATTGTTAATATTTAAATAAAGTAAAATTGTAAAAATTTGAAAGTTTAACATTTCAGTTAAAAAAAATATATGTTGATAAATAATTGGTCTTCTAACATTTTTAATATAAATTTTAGAATAAATACATGCTTATATTCATATTTTTTTATTATTTTTAAAATATAAAAGTTTAATTTTGACATTTAAAAGATAGAATAAATTTAAAGTAGAGGGACCAATGTAATCTTTAAATAAATAAAATATGAAACAAAATCACGTGCCATTGGACCACCGCCTTTGCGAACTGCAAACCCCACCTTTTAGTATCCGTCAAAAGCATTCCTAGTACTATTTTTTTTAAATATATTTTATTATTATTCTAACATAATATAATAAGAAGTTAGTATTACTTTTTTTTTCCTAGTATATTTTTTTTAGGTAAAACTATACATTTAATATCTTATCTTAAAATTAAATTTTAATGAATGTTTACTAAGTTTTTTTTTATTTTTTTTATTTTGTGTCTAATAGATAAATCAATACCTAATTTTTAATTTTGTACTTACTAAATCATTAACCTATTTAATATTTTTTTTAAATAATTAACCCACTTATCATATAAAATTTTGAAAGGGTAGAGTATATAATTAAAAATTTAAAGGTATATTAAATAAAAAATTAAGTCTGTAATATATCATCCTCAATTTCTCATTTAATATATTTTTTTTTTAAAAAAAATCTTATTTCTTTTAGAAATGTAAAGTAGAGCAATGTGGTTAGGTTGATAGATTCACGTGGGTGTCTCTGAATGTCACTCACAGTGAATAAGTAATAAGAGAATATTTCTCCTATCCTATCATCCTATGATTCTTGATAAGGTAATTCTCACCTTTTTCATTCTTGCTCCTCAGTCCCTCTCCCAAATTTATACCCAAAAATAGTATAAATATGTAATAGCCTAAGTCCGATATTATTCTCTTTTCGATTTCCCTCCGGGACTTCCCCTCAAAGTTTTACAATGCTTGAACTGGAGGAGGTTTCCACACTCTTACAAGAGATGTTTGTTCCCCTCTACAACCGATTTCAGATCTCACAATCCACCTCCTTGGTGGGTCACAACCTTACCAAGAATGTTTCGTTTCCCTCCCCAACCAATGTGAGAGAATGTTTCGTTTCCCTCCCCAACCAATGTGAGATCTCACAAAATATTCGAACGGTAGTTCATAGATTAACTTAAAATATAATTCAACTAGTTAAAATTTATAAATTTATATCATTGATCAAGAAGTTAAAAAAGAACAAATGTTCCGATTTTAAAAATTTTGAATCTTATTTTTGAAATTTGGCTTTTAAAACGATCGTCATCGATCGACTTGGCCTTCAAAGGACAAGTGGCAGGGGAAAGCTCATGGACAAGGTTTTGGACGTGGTGTACATACATGATCCTGGCTATATGCTTGTTAACTCCACACGTTGTCTCTTCCATTGGCAGTTCTGATCTCCTCGAGCCTTTCTCCACAAGTCCTCAAACCCTTTGAGTTAGGCAACATGGCTTAAGCATCTCCTTCCTTCGTTGACCGCCAATGGGAGCTGACCACATAAGCTTTGGCCCTTGCGGAGCCACAAGGCCGCCCTCTCCCGCTCCTTTCCCTTCGGTGAAACACCAGTCCAAATAACCCATATAACTACACAAAACTTGCCGTTTTGTCGGAAGCTCATAGTCACACCAGTATCAAGACGTTTGGTTTCATGGTAAGGCAAATCCCGCGAACAAACCGAAAGGATGTTCCCCTCTACAACTAATGTGAGATTTCACAAAATATTCGAACGGTAGTTCAGTACTACGATATTATTCTGTATTAAAAACATAATAATTATGATATTATCAAAATAGATATACATAAATTTCTTACATTAATTCTTCCATACTTGAACATGTGCTATTAATTACAAAGAAAAAAATAATAATAATTTGATAGAACTTCAGAATTATGAACGACATAACATAACAAATCATAGAGAAGCAAGAAAGAAAGATGCAGTCAAGAAAGGAAGGAGAAGTGATGGAAAATGTAACAAAACAGCAACCAATTCAATGGAAGAACACAAATCTTTAACCCAAAAAAATGGAAATATAGTGAAATATAGGTTTCAAAATTGGCTGTGACATAATTTCTATATTTATATAGGTGTTGATATGGGGGCCATTACAACCTAATCTCTGTTGGAACCATTGGAGTTGTTCATGGCTCTGTTTTGTCCTCTTACCAGCACAGAATTTTCAAATGATTTACATGTCCCAACGTTTATATTCCTCAATTTGAAGAGTACTATGCTTCCTATTCACCTATCAACCTGCAAAATTGTTCTATTGCTCAAGTAGTTAGCAGTACCTCTTCTTCCTAGACTTTGTAGGCTGAACTTCTTGTCTAATTTATAAAGTAATCTTCCTTTTCTTCTCTTTCTCACACCTTCAGAAATGACAGCTAAATAAATCTCTATTCTTGCTCTACAGATTCCTGCTATGGTCAGTGGACAAGACAGCTGAAAATAAAAGGTGGTGTATTGAAAATTACAGACCTTGTAATCGGTTTCTCACTGAAGATTCAGCAGCCAAGTGAACCATAAGCACTGCAATGAGGAGGAAATCCTTTTGCTTCGCCTTTTCAAAGAGATATATCTGCAAGTTCCATCTTCACTTTCAGTGGTCTTGATTATCAGCTGCTGACGTTTTTGGTGTGTAACTACAGTTAGCTCAGATGATGATCTAAGTTACCTGCCACAAACGCCTCATTTGGTTGCCCAGGTAATGCTCCTGATCAGCCTGCTACCGCTATTTTGTCAAGAATCCTGCTGTCAGAATACCACATTTTAGATTACGTATTTTATTTAATAGACTCAATACAAGAACAAGCTGACAACTTCAACTTGCAAGGATTCCAAATTGAATACACCCAAATGAGAAATTGAAAAGCTAATCTCGTTGAGATCTGTCAATTGATGAACAGTTTAGATCACATGACATCAAATAGATAAGATTCATCGACAGAAATATCATCTACAAACAAGAAATGAGGAGTAAGACTTGAGAACCGGGGAATGAGAAAACGATTAAAATTTGTATGAAATTATTAAGTACGGACAGTAAACATCCATGATAGACTTGGATTCCTTTGAATTTCAGCATCTCTCAATTAATTCAACATATGTAGCTGAGCCATTTAAAAAGTGAAGCATGGTCATGTAATGCAACTACAAAAGGGAGGGTAAAGAAACCAAGTCAACCACGAATGAGAAAAAGAAACAACAACGAAACCTGTTTCATGTGCTGCCTTTGTTCTTCCTCCATTTTTTCTGGCTGATGCTCCTGTTGTTTAAATGATTGCTGATCTGTCTGGGAGACTTCTTGTGGCTGTAGGCCAAGTAAATGCTGCTGTTGCTGAGTTTGTTGCAATTGCTGCTGCATGTGATACTGCTGTTGTAATTGCACATGGTAAGGATATTGTTGTTGAGACTGAAAATAATGCTGTTGCATTTGCAGTTGCTGCTGGTTATACTGTTGTTGAAAATTCTGTGACTGTTGAAGTTGTTGAAAATTCTGTGACTGTTGAAGTTGTTGAAAATTCTGTGACTGTTGAAGTTGCTGCTGCTGCAAAAAATACTGCTGCTGCTGCTGCTGGTAGTAATAATACTGCCACATCTGTTCATAGGTATGTGGGGCCTGACCACTTTGCATGTAACCATATTGCTCCTCGTTTGGTGTAATATATTGAGACTTCTCTTGAAAACCTTGAGAAGGAAGTTGAGACTGAATAGTGGGGAAGTTCTGCTGCTGAGCAGATTGAATCTGATTGTATTCTTGGCTGCTTCGTTCAACTCGTGGTTCCTGTGAAGCAATAGATTCAGAGGTATAATCTTGACTATCTGGTGTTTGACCAGATCTCATTCCTTGGTAGTCTCGAGGAGAATCTTGCCATGTTCGATGAGGTCTTCTCCGTGAATGTGACTGAAATCGATGTTGGGAGTCATGATGTAAGTTACCAGCAGAATGTTTATGGTGCCAGTTCCTATTTCCAGTTGCACCCACATGAAACTGTGAAGGTGCTTGGGTGTGTATAGGTTTATCGTGGCTTGGAGATG